AGGGTTATCTGATCACTAGCTGGAGACCTCAGGAGTACAACTCTTTCATCTTACAGATGAGGAAATTTACACCCAGAGGAATTAAGTGAATTGGCCAAGATCAGTCGGATATAACTGAGGCAAAATTTGAACCCAGGTCTTCTACCTTGAAAAAAAGAGTGGTGGTGGAAGAGAACCTAAATTTATAATGGAAGTAATTTGGTGCCGTAGAACTGGGAGTTGGAGATGCTGTAATCCTATCTCTGTTACTTAGTTTGTGACCTTGGGTAGGTCAACTTCTCCAGGCTTCAGTTTATCTGTCTGTCAAAAGGGATAATGGAACTTAATAGATTCTAAGGTCTCTTCCACATCTAAATTTATGATCCTATGATCAGGGAAATCAAATTTAGTAACAATAAGAATTCAGTTTGGCATCCCTCTGTGTGTGGGGGGGGCAGATTGTGGAAGGGGAGTGTGTTGGACTATATAACTTCTCAGGTCAGTTCCAGTTTTAAAATTATGACCCTCTAGGCCAGGGGTTATTAACCTGAGGTCCATAAATTTGGTCTCTTTAAAATATTTTTTGATAACTATTTCAATATATTCAGTTTCCTTTGTAATCTTATGTATTAAATACATTTAAAAACTTAATTCTGAGAAGGAGTCCATGGACTTCATCACATTGCTGAAGGGGTTTGTCATACAAAGGGATACATAACACATGCCCTAGGGCAAGGGACCCTCGGTCTCACTTGGAGTTGATTATGCTGAATGATGGAAAAGGAGTTATCATCCTAACCTGCATCGAGCGATAATGCATAATTATTTTATGCTGTCAAATAGGTGTGGTTTTGTTCACGTAAGACATCTTCCCCCAGACACAATGACTTCTATATAGCTCAGTCTTAAAGGGATGCCTGAGACTCAGGTGGGTTAACCGATTTACTCATGATCTGATTGCTAATAAACATCTAAGGCAGGACTGGAACCTAGGACTTCATGACTGCAGGTCTAGCATTTTATCTCCTCTGCCAGACTACCTCTCAATTATTTAATAATTTATAAAAATATAAAATTTACATAATATAACTAATACTATAATCATTGAAGTAAATTGTAATTCTTTAGATTGCAATTAATTTGATATATGAATTAGATCTATAGGAATTATTGTTATAGATATAATTTTCCATCATTTTGAATTTTGAGATGGCCTCATAGGTAAACCTTCCCTGTTTTAAAGGAACAAGCCTGGGTATATATGTGTGTGTGTGTGTGTGTTGTGTATTTAACTTTTCTGCAGCACCACTGCACCCCAGAAAGGACTTTCAGATTACAAACTTTTATAGCTCCTCTAGAATAGATCAGAAAGTCCTTGTGAAGATTAAATCTGCAGAAATAAAGACTACCCAGAGGTGGCGCTCTGGTTAAAGTACACCTGGATTTTGATTACCGTGTACTGATTTACTCCAGATGCCTCTGAAGAGACATCGTTAACCATTATCTCTTTTGTATTTATGCAATCACAACCTCAGCAAACAAACATCTCTGGTAAAAACACTTCCCTCCACATTGTGGGTGGAAATATTACTCCTCAGACCAGAGGGACTGAACATCCTTTAATCCAGGAGCAAACCAGGAGGTCCCTTTTAGCTTGCTTGAAGAATCACAGAAGAAGCCACATCTGCCTGGACCCTTCCGGTAGCCTAACTGGTCCTCAGCGGTTGGCTAGTGAAAACCTGAAAAGGGCTTGCATTCTCACCTTGCTGGAGGGCATTTTGCTTGAGAAATATACCTGAAATGTGTTTTTCATTATAGGCCTAAATTTAATTGTACCCCTCATCATGAACTGGTGTTATCTCACTTTTATGCTGGTAAATTATTTACATGGGAAAAATTGAGTTAGGAAATTAAGATCTGCTACTTTGATGTACATAGAATTCTCTCTTCTGTTTGTTTTGTCTGAGCCTTCTCATAATCAGACAGTCACAGAGCGAATGGGGGTTTTGGTTTGGAGATTTTAGGGAGCTGTCTTCAATTTCTACATTATTGAACTCCTTAAAATCACATCGCTGCCCATCATAACCATGGCAGAGTGAACCATGGAAGATCTGAGCTCACTGTCCCACCTCTGACACATACTGGCTATGTGAGCCTATCCATGTGGTTCTATTTTATGCACACAGATTTCAATGTGCTGTCTTATCTCATTAGAATGTGAACTTTTTGAGGGCTGGGACCAGGCATTTGCATTTCTTTCTATCCTGAACACTTAGTACAGTGCCTGGCACAAAATAAGCTCTCAATAAATGTTTGTTAACTGATTTACTAACTTCTAATTCTTGTAAGACTGTCAGTTGCAGAGAAGATACCAACCTGAGGGCACTTCCTCAGCACAGGTCCAGTCCAAAATTAAAGGAATTAATATTACGAGTTTTGATACTGATGAACAAATTTCAACATCTGTGATATTTTAGGTTAACTGAAGAGTGTTAATTTAGGTAACTGGTAGAACCTTCTGTACACTTTGTAATATGGTATAATGCAAAGTATGCCAGATGAGGATTCGTAGGACCTGAGTTTGAATCCTTCCTCTGCCATTCACTATGTAAGATCTTGGGCACTTTTCTGGCTCTCAGCTTGCTCATCTGGAAAATGAAAAAGTTGAACCAAATAACTTCCCTTTTAGCTTGAAATCTAGGTTACTGAAGTTGTTTATTTTAAACCATTTTCTGCTATTTTTGGTGCATAGTCACCATTCAGATATTATTGCTTTTTCTTTGGAAGCCTGAATTTTATAAAACTTGCAGATAGTAAAATTGTGGCTTGGAAAGAGAGTCCTTCTGACTGGGTTCTTTGGTCGATTTTCTGGTCTTCTCATCAGAAACAGAGTATGGAAGAGATAAATTTATCCCACCGGGCTGATTTCATTCCATTTCCTTAAAAGGGTGATAAGAGGTTATAGTCCAAAGGGAAATTACCATCACCTAGTCCTATCAGAAACTGAGATACAGAGGGGTAAGAGGCCTTGCCTAATATCACTTAAGAACTGTGAGCTCAGGAGTCAGATCTAGCTGTCTGACACTAAGGCCCAGATTCATCTACTAAACCACAGCCTTTGTCCTTCCACAGCGATTTTCCCAGGACCATCCCTCCATAACTTTCTATGAACAATTAGACCTAATATTGGCCCAGCAAATGGGACTTTTATGACCTCTTTTGCAGTGTAAAGTTGAATACTGAATTGAAACTTTAGAAGCTGACAGCAGGAGGTAGAGGGAAGGGGGACCCACTTGCAGGTTCTCTGACTGTGGGTGTTCCTGGGCTCTAACATGCTGAGAACATTGCCTCCAAACATATGATTTATATTGAAAGTGAGCTTCCTTATTCTCTAAAGCATTCGTGATTGCTAATCTGGCCTTATTGTTCCAAACTTTGCTTCTGGATGCCTGGCTCCTCTCCTCCTCACAGCAAGCTGGGTGGCAGGCTAAGGAAGGCATGCTCAGCTGTCGCCTCCATAAGATTTCTTCAGCTTCCTCCATAAGCGCAGGATCATTATTGAGCATTCCCTGAGAGCCTACTATGTGCCTTGGTTTATGTTTGGGTCAAGAGAGATTAAAAAAAAAAGTTTCTCCTCTTAGAAGTTATTTTTCCGTTAACCAAACTTCCCTTTAAGTTTCTGAACCCCAGACATCCAAGTTAACAACTCTGTGTGTGTGTGTGTGTGTGTGTGTGTGAACTTCACTGTCCCTTGCTCCTGGGACAACAAGAAAACTACCGTATTGGAGCTTGAGGACACCCCCCTCGCCCGTTTAGGGGATAGAGAAGTGGCTGCTGTGAGAGATGCTAAAGTTTTCCCAGGGCCTAGACTGGAAGTATGGGGCTGCCCCCGAAATCCTTGAGTACAAGTAAGCGTCCCTGGCTCGGACACGCAGCCAGCGTGGGCAGGTGAGAGACCACTTCCAGCCTCCTTCAGTCCTCTGGGCACAGCGAGCATCCACCAGCAGCAGCACCAGCAGCAGCAGCAGCAAAGAGGAGCAGCGAGGGTCCCTGCTGTCTGCTGCTGCTGCTGTCGTTTTCCACCTGATACTGCCCTTTCCTTTCCCCCTCGTTCCCTCCACTTCTTCTCTTCCACCTCTCTCTCTTTCCTCCCTCCCCTTCGCCTCCCCCCTCCCACCCCCGCCTCCGGTTTCAGTCATCCCTTTGTCCTCCCCCGGATTGGCAGGTTTTATTATTCCGCCTGAACAATCCGGCCGCGCAGTGGCTGAGGGGCGCTGACGTCGGCGGCTGAGCTGGAGAGTAGTTGGGATTTTGCTCTGTCAGTAACACATGTGTAAGAGCCGCGGAGGGAGAGCGCGAGCGGGCTAGGGGCCAGCGCCGCCTTCGAGCCGGGCAGCGGCAGCAGCAGTAGAGGCAGCAGCGGCAGCGGCAGCGGCAGCAGCACGGACACCAGCAGCAGCGGCAGCCCTGCTTCGACCCGGCTGTTGGGCTTGCCCCCAGCTCCGCTCGCTCCACTCCTCGTGCTTGCGTTCCTGCGGAAGGCTGCTCTGAGTGGCCTGCGAGGGACTCCGCCTGCCTGCCCGCCCGCCCGCCCAGCCGCCCAGCCGCCCGCCCGGGCTGTTGTTGTTGTTTCCGCTGCTGCCGCCGCCGCTTTCTGGATCTCAGCAATCGCCTCCGCCTCCGCCAGACCAGAGCGAGTGAGGGAGGGAAGGAAGGAGGAGAAGGAGGAGGAGGAAGGGGGGCCCGGGAGGGCGGGGGGGGGTGCCGAATATACAAAGTGAAGCCACATTGCCAAACTTGCAGCAGCGACTGCAGCAGTCGCCGCTGCCGCGCCTGAAGCCGAACAGCTCGCGGGGGCCCCAGAGCTAGCCAACCAGCCAGCCTTGCAGCTGCTCGAGCGAAGCTGGAGGAGGAGGAGGAGGAGGAAGAGAAAGAGGACTGAGACTGAACCCTTTGCTCCTGGGCCGGGCGGCCACTTCACTGGGGGGCACCCGACCCACCAATAGAGCCGCGCATTAAAAAAAAAGAAAGAAAGAAAGAAAAAAAGATTACCTTGTCCCACCCCCTTCTCCTCCCCCCCTTCCACTCCACTTCTGCAAGAAGAACTCGCTCCCTCCCTCCTTCCTTCCTTCCATCCATCCATCCATCCATCCAGCTCCATCAGTCCACCAGCCCTGGGAAAGCCGAGCGAGCGGCTCCGCTGAGATCTCGCAGCCGCCGCCGCCGTCTTTTTGCAATATAGGGGAAAAGCAGGTAAGCGGACTTGCTGGGGAGATGAGATGGGGCGGGAGGGAGGGGTGTGTGTGTGTGTGTGTGTGTGTGTGTGTGTGTGT